CTTACAATTGATGTGTAAGGGTCAGAGTTGCCTTTCCACAGGGCTATAGTTTCACATCCCGAGGCAGTGCAGTGAAACTGCTGGGGTTTGTGGCAGTGTTTGTCTCCCATGTCAGGACAGACATAGAACGTGACATTCTTGAGTCGAATTTCGTCTTCCAGACTGCCATAACTACATCCCCATCCTCTGGTGGAAGAGCTTCCCCATCCCTCTGGGACAATGGACAGGCTGGGCCATAGTTTGCAAAGATCAAAGTTAAGTATCTGTTCCCCTGTCCACGGTAGGTGGAGACTACAACTTGTGTAGCGGCGTTTATTATTTTCCAGGAAAAGTTACCTGGCACATAATAGGGGTGAGGTTGGTAGGTTTGGGTTAATGGAAAGCTGAGAAATAAGAGGGTAGTGATTTTGGAGGCAAGACTAGTGCTTAAAGGAGGCATTTGATGAGAACAAAGCCTGTGACAATTAGGAGGTAGGTAGTAGCCAACAGAATTTTTGCCGCAGATGGCCAGCTTGTGGGTGCCGAACAGATGAGTAATACAGTAAGTAGGATGGCAATCAGGCCAAGAAAGGAGAGGGGCCAAGGGTCACAGGTGTTCTGTGTTGTATCCAGGATGTTGGTTTGGATTTGGGTTGGGATGAGTGGTGAGTCGAGACAGGCGAAGCTTAAGTGGTTGGTCTGGAACCAGGGAGGTTCCACAGGTGTGCCTGGAACCACAGGTGTACCTGTGGGTGGGTGGACAGATATTATGGGTGAGACGCGAGGAAGGAGGGGCAGCAGGTTTTAAGCGGGAGATGTGAATCCATGGGGTGACCTCACGACGGCCCGTGATGAGTTTTGTGGCCGTGGGAATCGATAAAATTACCTGAAGAGGTTCAGACCACTTTGAGTTTAAAAGAGACTTTGTTTCTGGGTCAGAGAGATAGACCCACTGTCCAGGAGGAGGGGAGGTGGGATTTGACTGCTAGGTGAAACAGGTACGAGGAGATTTTGATATTCCCAAATGTGGGAATGAATGAAAGATAAGAGGGGGTGTAAAGCACATGAGTGGGTGTCAGAGGGGTTGAGGTGGGGACTCCTGGAGGCAGCGCTGGATGGCCATACATTACTTCAAAAGGTGAGAGTTGGGATGGTTTTTTTGGGAGAACTCGTAAGTGGAAGAGGGCCAAAGGAAGGAGGGTGACCCAGTTTTGATGTAGTTCGAGGGATAGTTTAGTGAGGATGTCTTTAAGGGTCTGATTGGTTCGCTCTACCTTTCCAGATGACTGGGTGGTATGGGATGTGGAAATGCCAATCAATGTGAAGATCAGTTGTTAGAGACTGTACCACCCGTGAAGTGAATTCGGGCCCATTGTCAGATTGTAGGGACGTGGGGACACCGAACCTGGGAATGATATGGCTGGCAAGGATAGTCCCTACTGTTGCTGCTCATTTATTTGAGGTTCGAAACGCTTCTACCCACCCGGAAAAGTTGTCCACGAAGACAAGGAGGTATTTTAGGTTGCGCACTGGGGGCATGACAGTGAAGTCGACCTGCCAGTCCGCTCCTGGGAGTTGTCCCCGAGCTTGGTGGGTAGGAAAGTTTCCTGGTTCTAGAGGGGTGTTGGGGTTGGTTCGCTGGCAGATGGAACATTGTGCGGTAATGCTTTTTATGAGTTCCTTACGTTGGGAAGTGAGAGTGTAAAAATTTGTTAGGAAAGACATCAGTGCGGAAGGATTGGTGTGAAAGATTGAGTGTAGGTATGGGATAAGGTCTGTAATGGAGGGGGAGGTTGAGGGTGGTGAATTAGTGGGGAGTGTGCAGTCTGGGTCAGGGTGAACAACAGCAGCCAAGGCGGGAACAGATGTTAAGGCTGCTTGTCGGGCTGCATTGTCTGCCCCGGAGTTTCCCTGAGTGATGGGTGAGGAGTCCAGCGGGTGAGCCTTACAGTGAGAAATGCCAATGTTAGTGGGAAGTAAGGAGGCAGCAAGGAGAT